TACGCCCCACGTTGAGAAATATTGGTTTAACTCGTAAGTAGCTTGGGCGGATCAACGGAACACCAGTTTTCCAGGGTAGTTGGAACTCGTTCGCGTGAAAGAAAGATTTCAACGAAATTTCAGCGGCCGTCACGCGGCGCGCAGGGAAATGCGTTGGCTGTTTACGGTCATTGCAATTAGAGTAACTTTAATTGCTGTCGTCGGCGTCGAGGTACGTGCAGACCTCTCTTTCTCTTTCGGTCTCTCCGTTTCTCTCTCGATCTGACCTCCCTCCGTTGTTAGAGAGCTAGTTGCCAGAGGAATAAGTTGCGGGCAACAATTAACCATCGAAAAATGGCGGAAAAATGCAGGAACCGGTGACAGCCTGTTTCCCTTTAGTTTTCAAGCGTAATCAGCCACCTAGATCTCTTTATTAAATTCCATTCCGGATAGAATGTAGCGTGCCTCGTTATCGGTCTCGCGCTGAGTTATCGACCGAGCACGTTTCCCCTAGTCTCTCGAAGAATTATCGAGGATCGCTTTGAAACCCTCTCCTCTTTTTTCGGTCCGCGCGACGGGATTTCCAGGATGAAAAGCCCGCCTCGAGGATGAAAAAGATTCTCAGTCCTCCTTTTCTCGTGGAAAAATCATTTCTTCGGAACACGTTTCGTAAACCGCCGAATGAGATACTACGAATATATACATATATAAATAGTTGTGCGTGTATAGTGTATATGTAGATAGGTATGCACGTAATCCTAAACCGTGTTGGCAACCTCTTGCGAATTGAAAGAGTTTCTTCTTCTCTCTCTCTCTCTCTCTCGTCGCTCGCCGTTTTCTATCTTCTCTTAATGGAGCTGCGTAACGTTCGAGATAAATTGCCGCCGCGGAAAACTCTTTCTCTCGTGCAAACTATTTATCCTGTACACCGGGCATACGAACGTTTTCTAATGGAAACAGAGGGAACGGTGGTGGGAAAAAACGGGTGGTAGGCGGACAGGAGGGAACGAGGACAACCCCTGAAGAAAGATTCGACCGTAGCCACCGCCCACGATTTGCTCCCTCGCTTTTTAACCTTAATCGCTCCCAGACGAGACGATATCGCGGTTCAAGTTTACATCTGTACAATTTCGTTCGGCTCGCCGCGGAGGTTGTGTAAATTACCGCGCAGGGAGATTTATGCACAGGGTAATTCTGGGGGAAAGGAATGAACTATTATTTTTTTTTTTTTTTGAAGATCGAATTATTTCTGCACCTAATAGAAATAGCGATTAGAAGTAGTGGAAATAGAATGGTTTCGAATGTTAATTTGTTATGTTAATAATGCCCAACGCGAGAAGAACAAAAATTGTATATTTCAGAAATTATATGGACGATCCTTCTCGTCCATAGTAATTACATTATAATATTTTAAAACGATTTCTGAAGATATATAGGATTTTTAACTTTATTTAATCCTTTGCGCTTTGGAAATAATATACGAATAAATTCTTAATATTAATTCTTAATTTAAGTTTTACGAAATTTTTTATGAATATTAGATTGTAATTTTATAAAGAGGGATATGAATATTTTGAATATTACACTGTTGAAGTGATAAAATTGAAAAAATAATCTTGCAATTTTTGAAAAATATAAATCTTGATACATTTCAATATTGTTGATATTATTTATACATCTATACGAAATTGAATAACAATTGTCTTTAGAGTGAAAAGAAAAGAGTGAACATTTAAAGGACGCATGAAAACTATTAAAATGTTTCATAATATATTTCGCCAAAACGATCGAATATAATAGCTAATATCGTGCGCATTTCATTTTTCAAATAATTCACGAATAAATTCGATAAATGGCTTGGACTTGTCGGAAATGTTATATCGTCGAAAAACTGTAATCGCAATCTTATAAATCCTTAGATTAATATCCCGGTTTTATTCCGCGTGTACACGGAAAGTAGTTATGTTGCGAGAACGGAAGGTAATCAACGTTGAACGGTGACCGAACGCACAAAGTTCACTAGGCGGCGAGTTATCGGAGCGTAAAAAAAATATTTCGTCGCAAAAACGGATCTATTCAGAGGCGAGCTTTTTCGCAAAGTTAACTTTTATAGCTCGTGAAACCAATTACGAGATTATGCGCGCATAATCATGAGTCGCGAAACGACTCGATAATCGAAAGAAAGAAACTCTTGGAATCGCTTAAGTAAGTTGCATTCGATTAGCGACCTCTCGTTGCGTGCGACGAATTTTATCGATCTTCTTTTCTCTCGAACACCGCCCTCGTCCTCGAAAATTCGAGTTATTTTCTACGGTGAAGTATCAATCGTGGATTCGACGCGACTCGGACACGGTATTAATTTTTTCTATGAAAGATTTCTTGGAGCAAGTACTAAGGTTATACACCAGTGCCAAGTTCTTTTTAATCAAGCCTCGTGGAATTGTGTGCGCGCGCGCGTATACAGAGCGCAGTTTGTAATTATTGGATCCGGCTGTAGTCGATATTTCATCTTTCTTTAATGGAAAACAGAAAGGAAGGAAGGAAGAAATGAACGAAGGAAAGAAGGAAGGAAGGAAGGAAGGAAGAAAAAAGGAGAAAAGAAGGAAGAAAAAAAGCAGGTATAAAAATAAAAGAGGAAAGGGATGGTCCAATAGCGAAAAAGTATGGATGGATATGTCGCATTCTTAACCATATACCTATACCAGCGTATTCCTAATTGACCGTTACGGTAGATCGATGTATCCTTTGTTCCGATCGTACTGCCATTGCGTGGCCTTTTTCCTCGACAAAATTACGGAACGCTATTGGCTCTGATTTTTGCAAAGAACTGTACGCGTTTTGTTCGCGGCTATTCCCTTCTCTTTCGCTCGGACTGATACGGTTGATGAGAGCAGCTGCGTGAACATATCGGGTTGCAGCCGTCCAACCAAATGAAAGAGTACTCTACCCTCGGTATCCTAGATAACGGCTGACGCTGTCCTGCACGCGTTCGTGAAACTTGGCCTTCGTCTCTCGCCGGGCATTCTGCGAAAGACGAGTCCAGTCACCGTGAAAGAAATTATCGCTCGGGCCTCTGTTTATTTTTATGTTCGAGATAAGCGGCAGCTTACCACAGGTCTTTCTGATACTGACGCTGCTAACGTTTTCTCTGTCATGCTTGTTTTGAAGATGAAAAACATAGCGAAATTAAATGCAAGTTTGGTAAAGAGAGATTAAACAGGATTTTGTTAAAAATTAATAAAACTGCACGGGATTAGCGAGTTCGGGAAAACTCGTGCGAAATCGGCATGTAACGATTCGACTTCGGATTAACTCGGCAATAATCGGACGCGATCGGCTAAAGACGCTGTTTCGTATTATTAAGACCATTATTTTTAAAGTAATTACAATTTTAATCGAAGATGGTTATGTGTTTCTTTCAATGAATATTCGTTTCTTTTAATCGTTCTACAATGAATATTCTGAATATATGTTGCATCATAATTGTAAAATCGTATTCAGAAGAAGGTAAGTGTTTATATTTTCTCTTTTTAAGAACGATAGTAGCAATAATCAATTCCGAACATTTGGAGGTTATACTTTTTACACTTTACATGTATAATATTTTAATATTAAAGTTAGTTGCATAGTTTATGCTTATTAAGTTAACATTTTTCGCAATAAAAAGTTACAAATAATTCAAAATATTATATTGTGTGCATACAATTTATATAATTTGGCACAATAACATAATTTTTACGAAATATTCTTCACGTATTAGTTGAATATTTGAACACGTTTCAACTGTACAAATATTCCCAGTCTACTTATGACACATTAAATGTATCCGAAGAGGTAGTTCTCTGTTATCAAAGACGACACATACCGAAACTTGACTACTTCCTTACATCGAGCATCCTGTTGACACGTTGACGATCGCGTTACGCGTGCCAACAACCCATAGTGGATCGTTTTTCGGAAGAATCGGAAGAGCCTACAACGTGCCTTCGTTTCACGGAAAAAGAGATTTTCGTCACACGGAATTCTCCGCGCCTGAGGCTATGAATTCAACGCATAGTATCGCGAGTGTACTCTATTTACGTGCTTAGCTGCAGCTGCGCTTACTCGACACGATTCCACGACGCGTTTTAATTTGTTCGTGTGCATACGTTCCGGAAGGATTGTAACGTTTCTCGATAGGGGAAACGTCGAACGCACTATGCTCTACTATACAACTATTTTTATCTTTCCTGTATTTCCTGTTCCCATCTTCTATTTCCTTTCCATTTTCTGGTAAACAAAAATTGAACAATTCTGGTCTTGTTGTTAATTTTTCTTCTTATAATTGTTACGTTTATAAACTTGTTGTTTATATATTTGTTGTAAAAAAGATACGAATCGTCGTAAAAGTAATGATTAAATTTTTCTCGAAAATGTTGAAACATTAAATATATATTTAAAGAAAAAATTAATTAGATAAAATAATTAATGAATTCATCCAAGGAATGAAATTGATTTATCTAACGACAATATTTTCCATTTCTTTTCAGATGGATAACTGTTCCACCCGTGCAGGATTTTAGGCTATACGATATTATTCCACTTCCACGATGTTGCGTGAAATGATATTTCTATTTTTCATTCGGGAGAAGAGAACAAAAGAGAGGAGAGGAAATTCAAAGAAGCCATTTGTCGATTCGATTCGAAAATTTATGTATTGCACTCGGGTAAGGGGAAAAAGTTTTTTACTACCTGTTCTCATCTCATCGATATTTCACCGTGCGCTCAAAAAACAAAAAAGAAAAAAGAAGGAAAAGAATCAATAAGCCTAGCACTAGCGACTTTCGAGTCACGGAGGAATCGACAGCTGCCGCAGCTTTTGCGGCCAATAAACTAAAGAGGACTCGAGGCAAGGGCAGTTAAGGTAGCAGCTTAAGTAACTGCGACTAGAACGATCCTGACTTTTTCACGACCCGCCCAAGATCCCATATTTTATCCCTCGTTGCAACATTGGGATCGAGCTGATCTCATGAGGATTCTCCTCTTCCCTTGGTATGAAAATCGAGGGGAGGGGGAAGAAGGACAGAGAAGAGAGTCATCGAATTTTACGACGTCGTATCGGTGCAATATTCCTTTCGGTGGATGGGGGAGCCGCATCCTTCCCAGTCTCTCGCTTTAAAGCGCGCCGTTAAATGCGAAAATAGGGTAAACTTCTCGTCAACGCGTACCGTCTTGATTCGAAAATATCCCGAGGCGAGGAGGGTGGTGTTCGATGCAAGAGGCGAGGAACGGCGGAATCAAATAAATATACAATCAGAAAAAGGAGGAGGGCGGCTCCACTTTGAACCAACGCTCGGCGACTCCAACCCTCTTCGACTAAATTTATCCTCCTCCCCCGTGTTTGCTCGCCGACTATTTATTCTCTACATTTATGGAATATCTGAACTGTAAGCTCTAGCCTCGACTAAACAAACCGTAAAACCGTTTAAACGAGTGTTGGAATATTATCGGAAGTGAATGCATATCTGACAGTCTGTTTTTCTCTTTTAATTAACAATCAACGATTTTTGGAGGTGGCGTTCGATCGAGTGTGAAACACTTTAAAGGAAGGAGAGTCTTTTATTTATCAAAGACGTTGATGAATAGAAGTCGAAATTTTAGAAAATACGCGAATCGTCTTTAGCTTATTTATAAAATTTTAGTAAAAAAATACGGGGGGAAGAACTACTATATAAATTAAAGAGTTGGATCGAAAATTTGGATTGATAATCGTGTTGGTAAATTTCTACATAAGATTTTAACCATCCGAAAAAATTTTAAAAGCAGTAATTTTTCTCGATTTAATAATTTTTCCCACGAATTATTTTTATTTTCACAATGGAAAAAGCAACTTCTTTACAAGCACTTGTTTCCAAAGTTTTCATACAGTCCATTTAATTTTTCATAACAATCCAATATCATTTTACAAATAAATAATCCTCGAATGACCTAATTCCACCCAACAAGTACAAATCCAAAAAAAAAAAAAAAAAAAAAGAGTAGATGAATAAGATCAATTTGTATAAAACGTTTCTCCACGAATAACTTCACGAAAGTGTGTTTCTTACTAGGTAACTACCCTAAATAATTTCCGACCTCGAAGGGGGATGGAAATGGGGATCTCGAAATTGGAGGAAAAAACAAGGAGCAAGACATCTCTCGAAGCGGAAAATCGTATGCGCACGCCTTGTAAAAGTATCCAAGGGGAGGAGATTAGTTAACAAGATTACTTACGACTGTCAGCGCTCTGTAAGCAAGTTTCTGAATAGGGGTATGGCGGCGGGTTGTGGCGCGGATGATCTACTATGCAGTCAGCCAGCCATGTCAACGATATACATTCAGCCCCGGCCCGTGGTGCAAGTAGGGCTGCAATGTCTGCGAAACGGTAATGGAACGGCAAACGACCTGGGATTTACCCCTTGGAACATTCTAACAAAGCTCTAGGCCACCGCAGCCACCTACCACGAAGAGAGGGAGAAAAAAAATTGGTAAAAAATTTACATCGCCGGTTGCCTCTCGCTCGCGGTAATTGCCTTGTATATTTCAGAACGGGTGGGATGCTTGCATGCTATCTTCGACTCGAGTGGATCCAGTTCGAATCCTGTCGAGATGAATTTTAAATCTTTGCTAATCTCCGTTTCGACGACGATCAATCGAAAATGTAAGTGAGAGAGTGTAAATGATGATATTTATTTTGAAATTATTTGAATTGTAATTTTCTACTCGAAGGAGACTTCGTAGAATATATATCAATAATGGGTTATAAATTCTGCAATTCTTTCCGCTAATGTGAAATTTATTTTTATATTGAAAAGTTTCGTTTTATAAAAATAATAAAAGCATTTATTGGATATACATTGATAAAATCTTCGAGTGGAAATGGTTAACGATATTTCGTGAAAATATAAGAATAATTTATAATTGGAAGATTGTAACGATTTTTCTATTTTCGAAAGAGTTAAGATATTTAAAAACGAATAAAGAAAATGAAAGTTTCATGTAATTTTTTAAATATTCGATGAATTTTGCGAAAATCGACTTTTTCTAAAATTTAGGATTGTGTTATTTGAAAGCAAGATAAAACGTGGAATTTCTTATAATAGATAATTAATAAAAAAATTCATTCGCTAATTACCTATATAAAAAATCAATTTCTCGCTCTATTTTCAGACTCTCCAAGGTGCCATACTCTCTTTACGCTCGAGCTGACATAGATAACGGTCTAAAAGCCTCGCGAGGTGAAGTCGACGATATGACGGCTACGAAGAGCTCGTAAAAATCGCTAACGGAATTAATGGCCTCGATGGCCGTGAAGACGAGGAGCGCAACAACGTCGTTAAAAAATCCATCCAGTGACGACGTACCAATGTTTCGAACGTCAATTATGTTTTCGCACGTCGAAAAGAGAAAATTTTTCGAAGGGTTGGCGAACTTTGTTCGCGGTGGTAATCCGTTTTAAATCGACAGGAAGGTAGGGGGAGGTGAAAAGTTGCGGAGAAAAATGTCGCAGCGTCGACGAGATGGAATTGAATTCGGTCGAATTCAGAACGCCTTGTACTAGGAAGCTTCGCGGTATTTCGAGGTACACGTAGGAATATAATAGGGAATCACCTTGGGAGATATTTTTCGGGGCAGGGAAAACTATAGTGATAACGCGTGTTATTGGAATTTACTTATTCAGAGTGCAAGTATGTTCGATAATATAGTAATTTTCACACTTAATGTAGCGTTTATTTTAATCTAAAATAATTGTTGAAGACAAGTTTTGCTTTCAAATGTATTTTCATGATAAGGATTAAGTTAGTTAACCTTGGATGGTTGTCTATTCTTTCAAGAAACTCTTTCGAGAGCAACAATTTTAATTTTAATTTTTCTCAAATGTATTTGTACCATGAGGTTAGACAAAAGTTTTGCAAGTTTTAAGATTTAAATTGCATTGTATTGTGGCAAAGTTTTTAGTTCACTTGATATTTATGTTAGCAAAAGAAATATTAGATAATTTTGAAACGAAAGAAATGATGTATCAACGATCTTTACGATGTAAGATGCAATTTCCTTGTTTAATAATTATTATAGTTGCGTTGATCGTGGTTAGTATTTGGATGGATGCCATTTCGAAAATCCGTGTATTGATATCAAAATGCTTCTTAAACTATAAACTCCGGCTAATGACCGCATTGATTGTGACAAACGATATTGGTTATATAACGAATAATAAACAAATAGCAAATGATAATTTTGCCAGCAGGAGGATCCAATGATTGCAATTTGATAACCAAGTTAATACTTGATTGTGTACAGTAGCTCGAAATCCACTTTAAATCACTTTAGAGTCTCAACTAATAATTACAACAATAGATTAAATACCAAATAACAAACAAATATCAAATAATAATTTTGCCACATAGAAATCCACCGATTCCAATATAATAAACCAAAGTTAAATTACATTGGTCACAGTTAATACTTGGTTCATATGTCGTTTAACGAATCATTTACCTAATAATTATATTAAATAATGAACAACAGAATATTTATTTTCATCTGTCGTGATTTCAAGAAAAATATAAAAATAACTCTGTATCTACATTGTATGCGATAAGTTATAATATTCAAAACGATTTTGTGGAGAAATATGTAATCAAAATTCAATTATGTTGATCACTTGATTAATATGTAATTGGCAATAATTGAAAACTCTGTTTAATTTAACAAATACATTAAATAATGAATAAAATAATAAAACACGGATACTTATGAATCCTAATCAATTTCAAGAAACGATAGAAACGACTCTGTGTTTATCCATCTACTATGTACACAACAGGTTGCGATAGTCGAATCCTGAAACGGTGTCACGTGGAAGAACAGGGGTGCGTGGACGTAACAACGGGCCGGTGGCACCCTTCGATGATCCTTAGGGGGATATAGACAATGATTAATCACACTCGAGTGGCTTCGCTTCCCTCTTGCTGATGCTCCCTGTGTATCGGTCCTCCCTTGGCCAGCGTCCACGGGATGAAGGTTTATGCGCATTCGTTTCAGATTTCAAACGCTTTGCCACTTCGAACATCGGTAAAGCGTAGGAATTCTAAAACAAATACCACGCTTTTATCTCGTTGCCCTGCTTTTTCCCTTTCTTTAGTGTTTCTTCGTTGTAGTAGGCGTCGCTCGATTCACTCATTTTCTCTCGATCGAAATCCAATTCTTCCGAAATGGATATTATGGATTATAAGATTTTTTTGTCCAAAAAGTTTTTTCGGATTGAAATGGAAGGGAAATCTGAAGGGAAGGTAAGATTTATAGTGAGGTTTTTAACAACGTGGGATTAAAATTTGAATAAAACGATATCGATTGGATTGAAACATACATTGTGATGTAATATCAAGAAGTAGAATGATTTAGTAGCAATGTGACATGCTAGAAATTTGTTAATGAATAAAACGAAGTTTTATCATTCGTTCTAATGTTAATAAGAAATTTCAAGAAGTTAGGAAAATTAAAATTTTAAATTATGAATTTGTACATTGATATTGATTTATGAAACATAACCTCAAACGTCACAGAACGAACGATCGATCGATCGATTATTCGCTTTACATGGAACAATTTAACCAAAGAAAGCTTCGAATTTTCTTTATTCTTTTTTTCATTTCTTTTCTCGTATTATGAGAGGAAAAAATATGTCTTCTAATGAATCAAAGAAAGAAGAAAACTGGCTAATCTTAGCTAGACTTGATCCGAACTTTTCTAAAAGGACACAATCGATATTTCCATTATTGAACCGTTCGTTTGTAACGTTAAATGAACCGATGGCCCGTAATGCCATTTATCGATAAAGGTCGTTAATATTCTCGGAAAGTTGCGCTCCTTTACGAGAACTGAAGTTTGTTTGCATTTATAGAAAAAGATCGTTCGCGGTAATGATCGATATTATTAGCCTCGTTGATAAAGAAGTATTAGAGTTTTTCTTCGAATTCGAGTCTCTGAAAGTTTAACTCTTTACCATTTGATGATAACTTCTGGTATTATTTATTTTAGCGATGTTATAATACCTCGATACTAATAATCCTATCATATTTATTTATTTATCAAAAATTCGGATAATTATATATAAAATACAAATAAAAAGAATTGATAAATATATATTATATCGAATATATTCTAAAATCTTACTCGAGAGAGAAAAAAAATTCCAATGTTTCTTATTATTTTATTATAAAAAAATATTAAATAAATTTAATAATAAAAAGAGAGTAAAAAAAACATTTCAACTCACGTTCAAATGAAAAAGCACGTGATATCGAAAAATAAGAAGAAAATGTTAAAACGTTTTAACCAAAGAAGGTAAAATCGGTCTACGAAATATTCAAATTGCCTTCTCGTGTGGAGCATACGCCCTACATTGGAAAATACCGGTTTAAAACGAGCGATGGAACAAATTCGCAAAGGAAGAGCGGCGTGCACGTGGCGATTTTTCTCGAAATTCTTTCCAGGGCGTGGATGGGACAAGCGGGGTATTTATTGGCTTCCATCCCATCGCTTAACTCGGTTGGCATTTCGTCAAAAGTGTTTCGAGTATGTATTTCAAAAACGTTATTCGATTTCCTTTTATTCCATTATTCCTTTCTTTCTTTTTATATATATAAAGAATTTATTTTACGTCTTTCGTTTATTCTTGCTCGTACAGTCATACGTATTATCCAATCCTGTTATCCAATTTAAGTTCTATGCGCCCTTTAACTTTTAAATAAAGTTAGAAGGCCCTGTGTACCTTGCAGAGATCTAATTATTTTTTCTTAACGAGGACAGTCGAGAAGAAAATGATAAAAACTTTTATTTCTCTTGTTGTAACATCTCGAAATGTTGGACAGGACAATTAAAGAAGAAAGAATAAGTAATGTAACTTACGTCGATGAAGAAGCGAAGATTTTTCCGAAAGCGATTAGACCAATATTTTTCACCAACCAAATAATTTGACAAATCAATATCTGTCTAAACGGCGAGAAACTCTCCACAGTAAAAAGTCTATTTTGAGAATAAAAATTTCTAAAAAAAAAGAACAAAAAGAAAAAAAAAAAAACTCTCGTGAGAGTGACTCGTGAAAGTTTTACAACCCTGCAAATGGATTGTAGACACGATCGGAAAGAAGGAACGTGCGTTGACACCGAACTATTCTCGAGAATTTTACCCTCAATTCCTCCATTCGAAAGTAAAGCTTTCACGAATTACTCTCCGGAGTTTCATTCTCATCCTAATACGAAAATCCAAAATTTCAATTCCCGTTCAATTCCAGAATTTCATTCTCAATATCCCGAAAATACGAAAATTATTCGATTTCACGTTCCGTCAATTTTTTTTTTCCCGGATCTTCACGCGCTTTATCTTATCTTATCTTATCTTAATTCGAGTTCGCCCATCCTGCGAAACAACGTAACGTATTCTGAACGCGCGTTCATTTTTTCCCAAAAATTTTCCCCTCTTTGACGCGGAGCGACGCGGTTCCTGGCTTAAATTAAATTCCGGCATCGGGCTCGTAAAATGCCTCGCGTTAACGCAGCTGGGGAACAAAGCTGCAATTTCCACTGGTTTCGAGTCGGTGGAAACTTTTGCGGGGAATCGTAAGTTTAAAATTAAAAAAGCCAAAGCAACCGCGCTCGA